TATAATGAGATTAATAGTATTTTTTTGAAAAATGAGTGGTTGAAAAGTTTTTGATTTACGTGTAATATTATTTTATTAAAGATTGTGTGATTAAAAGTAAGAAAGAGAAAAATTTAATTTAATGTAATGAGGAATAATGGGGCCAAACACATGCTTAGATTTGATGCTTTGAAGTCAACTTTGTTTCATTTTTGATCTGTTGGAGTTTGAGTTGAAAGCTCCAACTTTCCGTGAACTCCCATCTATCTACGTTCCCACCCGTTAATTTCTTTCCACCCTTAGAAACGAAACCCCTTTGTACATATACAGCGAATTACAGACTACATAATTTAGACCAGAAAGGAACGAAATTTTATTCCAAGTTTATTGGGTTCCATTTCAGGAGAAGTTGATGATCAAGGAAGGTTCAGCGTTTTAACCACTTGACAAATATAGTATTTACGCACCACACATACGTGTTGATCAGAAGCTGGTTTCATTTCAATGGAGCTGACGGTGTCTAACTCTGTCTCTAATGGCGTTGCTGCTGAAATTATTGCTAAGGACAAAGTTGGGTTGAATCCAAGAAATGGGTTTGTGTCAATGGAGGGACTCAACAAATTGCAGCCTAAAATCGTTACTGGAGATTGTGGTTACATTCTGGAGGACGTGCCACACTTGTCTGATTACATTCCTCATCTTCCTGTATGTATAATTTCTTGCTTATGATCATATCTTTGACATCTGTCATGAATTGGGTGTTTGATTTTTCGGCTTTTACTTCTTTTCTGAGGGAAAAAGGTTAGAAACTTGAAGAAAACTATGTTTATAGTTTAATACAAAATTAATTACTTGAAAATATTTTTTATAATATATCTTGTAATTGCTCTAATTTATTCCTCTTCTAGAAATTTTCAGAATCCTTGTCAGACTCTTATGGTTTGAAAGACAACAGAGTGCAGGTCTTTATACTTCTTTGGTTGCTAGTGATTTCTTATTCTCATTCTTTCCTGTGACAGACTTATACCAATCCGTTGCAGTTTAATCCTGCATATTCAGTTGTCAAGTGAGTTTTTGTATTGCTTATATCAATTCTTTTTTTGTTTCCTTCTGATAATTTCTTGAAAAATTGGAAATTGCATCGTTTTAATTTAGTCTTAATTTACCTGTGCACAGGCAGTATTTTGTGGATATTGATGATACAGTCGCCCAAAAGGTCAGTTTTCTGCAGAAGATAAATTTCTACTTTTTCTTGAAAGAAATATTCCAGAAAGGAAATCAGGAATTATCAATTATAGAAATGATAGTTATTGACATGTTTCTGATAATAACATTATTTTTCTTTAGGTTGTTGTTCACAAGAATAGTCCAAGAGGGGTTCATTTTCGACGGGCAGGTCCTCGCCAAAGAGTAAGTTTATAAACTCCTGGACTTTGAAGTTTAGAATGAATCTTTTTGTACTTTAAAGTTTAAAGTAAAATAACTAGTGGGTAATTTTCAGGTTTACTTCAAGTCTGATGAAGTGCGAGCGTGCATTGTCACATGCGGAGGCTTATGCCCAGGCCTTAACACGGTTATCCGGGAAATTGTATGTGGCTTGCATCATATGTACGATGTGAAGAGAGTTCTAGGAATAGTTGTAAGTATCTGCAGAATTATATTAATTTTCTGATAAGAGAATTGCTGCCTGAATTCTCACGAATAAGCTTTAAAAATTGCTTTTTTTAGGAACAGCAGCTTCGCTTAAAATTGAAATTTCCCTGCTGCAATGTGCATTAGTGAAGTAGTTCTAAAGTGTTTAGGTTACTACAGTTTCTTGTATATGTAACTTCTCCTCTATAAACAGCCCTGCTGGCCTGCCAAATAAGAAAAGAAGGAACAAACAATATAGTTATGATTGTAACGATGACAATAGTAAAAGAAATGAACTTAGTCTCCATGAATTAATTATCACTTGTGTTTGATAAGAATCTAGATATCATAGGAAAATCCATGGCTTTAGTTGAAAGAGATAATATTAGATTTTAACTTATAATCTCCACTCTTGTTTGTCTAATATATGTGCAGTGTCTGTCATTGATGTTTCGATTTTACTTGAATTTCAGCAAAAATGTATGGTTTTTTCTTGGGCGGGTTATCAACTAATGGGACTGGTGTTTTTGTAGGGAGGATACCGAGGTTTTTACTCCAAAAACACCATCTCTTTAACGCCAAAATTCGTGAATGATATTCACAAACGTGGTGGAACAGTATTGGGGACATCTCGAGGTGGTCATGACACCAAAAAGATCGTTGACAGCATTCAGGACCGCGGAATTAATCAGGTATATAAAACGAGTATGAATCATTCTTCAAATTTTGGAGTATCCTCCTCCTGAATTTATGTGATTGGAGCATAGCCTCGTCTATTCTAATTGTTACTTTGGCCTTTCTGAGTTTAGGTTTACATAATAGGAGGAGATGGTACACAAAAAGGAGCAGCAGTAATTTTTGAGGTATTTTACTTGATGTAATATAGTGTGTCCATCTTTACTAATTTGGTAGAAGCCCGTAAATCAATCAGTTTTTAATCCTCTAAAGTTCTCGATTTCATTGTCATATCGTGTTTCTACTGATATCATTTGTGCTAATGTTAATAATCATATTTAAACTATTTTCCTGTCAATTTTACCAGGAAATTAGAAGACGCGGTCTCAATGTTGCAGTTGCCGGAATCCCCAAAACAATAGATAATGACATTCCGGTACTTTTTTTGTCAAGTACAACGGCTAGCTACATTTGAATCAGATATTTCTTATGTTATTGTTCCCCAAAACAAGATAACAATGAATATGTTAAATGTCATACTGTCTCCATTTGCAGGTTATTGACAAATCCTTTGGTTTTGACACTGCTGTTGAGGAAGCCCAACGTGCTATTAATGCAGCACATGTTGAAGCTACAAGTATTGAGAATGGTATTGGTCTGGTGAAGTTAATGGGACGTTATAGTGGTAAGCTTCATGCTAATATATACAACAGTTCATATTTTTCATCTAGATGAATGTATCAAGAAATGGTCAATGCATTTGCCAACCTTTTGATGTGTTAAATTTATCAATCGTGAATTCATTCATCTAATAAGTATAATGAGCTCGGAAGGTTTAAAATAAGTGTACATGTGATAGAGGTTGATGTGTTTCTTTTGCTAGTGTTTAGATCAATTTACTTTCCACGTGTTTGTGAAACGTGGTTTTTAACATTTTATTGTTGCACACGGTTTGCAGGATATATTGCCATGTATGCTACTCTTGCCAGCCGAGATGTCGATTGCTGCCTTATTCCAGAGTCACCATTTTATCTTGAAGGACCTGGTGGATTATTCGAATATATAGAGAAGCGACTCAAAGAAAATGGACACATGGTTATTGTCATAGCCGAAGGTGCAGGTCAAGAGCTACTTTCTGAGAGTTTGCGCTCTACGGATCAGCAAGATGCTTCTGGAAACAAGCTTCTACAAGATGTTGGGCTGTGGATATCGCAAAGGATTAAGGTAACTATCACACTTTGATATTCTGTTTTTCTCTTTACTTTTCGGTTTCTATATCATGCATTGCTCCTGTGCGTTCCATATTTGTGAAGTGCTTATATTTATGCTTTTTGACTTTCAGGATCATTTTTCTAAACGGAGTAAGATGGCAATTAATCTCAAATATATAGGTTAGTATTAAGATACTCCTCTGTTAAATGAAATTGGAAGAGCCTATTCCAACTAAATGTTTGCCTCATCACAGATCTCATGTACATGATTCGAGCGGTTCNCTCTGTTAAATGAAATTGGAAGAGCCTATTCCAACTAAATGTTTGCCTCATCACAGATCTCATGTACATGATTCGAGCGGTTCCCAGTAATGCATCTGACAATGTGTACTGTACACTTGTTGCTCAAAGCGCCGTTCATGGAGCAATGGCGGGTTATACAGGCTTCACAGTAGGACCTGTCAATGGCAGACATGCTTACATTCCCTTCCATGTGAGTTAATTAGCCACATGAAAACCTTATACTACTATTTAATCGTGTATGATTCGAGTAATTTACGCTACTATTTCGTTTCCTTTTGGGGATTCAAGGGGTTATACGTGGGCGTGTGTTCCCTTCCCTAAATCAAGACTCAAACAGGTGTGGTGCGGTGACCACGTGCAAGCTGGTTCATATCTTTATATCTATGTCGATATTTATTGTGTTTCAAGTATTTGTGCTTGGTTCTTGCTCATACGGTCACGCTTGCAATTTTCATCATTATTTCTCGTTACAAACGTGATGAGTTTTTGAGTTCTGTTCCTGATACAGAAATTCTGATGTTGCATGCAGAGAATTATCGAGAAACAGCACAAGGTCGTGATAACGGATAGAATGTGGGCAAGGCTTCTGTCTTCAACCAATCAACCCAGTTTCTTGTGTACCAAAGACGTTATTGAAACCAGCAAAACCGAGAACAACCTGCGCAACTGTTAGACGATAACTGTATGTAGGCTAAAGGAGATAAATAAAGAGGTCACAAGTCAAGTGACATTGCGAGGAAATGAAGGGATGCTCACTTGAGATAGTTTTTCAACATAAAGATCTTTAAAGGTATTAGTAATGTGGCCACAGCAGCAGCCAACCAGCAGGCTGATATACAAGTGAAACTTTGCATACTTGCCCACAATAATTTGCAGTTTTTCAACATAAAGAGCTCTATATATTTTGTATGTTCTGTAACATTCAGCATTTAAACTAGGAAACAAATCCGTTCTGTTATCCAGTCCTTCAACATTTGGAAACTGAAATCTAAGAAACATAACAGATGATGTGGTAAAATTTGATTGAGTCAAAATTTCATTACCCAATAATATTAATAATAATAAATTCGCTCACTTTCTTTTTGTTACCTCATTTGTAAATGGAGATGTACAACAATCATTTTCCTTGGTATCCGACCTTTGAACCTGATGAAATTGACTTCTATGAAACTTATTGAACTATCCACTGATGGCTGGACATTTAGAAACATAGGAGTAAATTGGCCTCAGAAAATAATTAATACAGCAATAGTACAAGTCAACACGGTTATTACCCTGGAAATACTTCAATTGGCCTCAGAAAATAATCCAATATACACAGTCTATAAATGGAATTTTCAGTTCCAACCAATTCCCGATCAGCTAGCTTACATTCATCAGCTATTAGGATAATATATCCACTGGTACCTCAATTCAAAATTGACAAATGGTAGACCTAGTTAACAGAAACAAAAGAAACGGACTTGGTTAAAGTGCCATTTCTTCTTGCAAAGCAGCAAGTTCTTCCTCCTCCTTGGTGAGTTTAGAGCGAGCAGGTACTCTGCCTGCCAGTACCTGCACTGGAGCTGCAGGGGCTGCAAAGGCTGGCTGAAGAAGCTGTTCTTCCAATTCTGCACCTTCTAATTCTTCAAGCTCAGCCTCCAATTCGTCCTGCAATAATAGAAAATGCCCAGATGTTAGCTAAAGAGCATAATTTCTTGCATTTTACCCAACATTATAATCAATTCTGAAAATCTCAATACATAACGATAGAGATTCAGAAATGGCAGAAGATTGAAAATAGGCAAGAACCTCATCAAAGTCAGCTGCTGCACCAATGGGAGTAGCCAATGCTTCCTGTATCTGCTTCATGTTCTCTGTTTGTTCGTTTATCTCGTCCATTGTTTTGTCCACATCATCAATATTCCTGTGTAGAAGATGCCAATTGAACTTTTGGTCAAAAAGATATATGTAAAGTGAAGATAGGAAGAATTGGCCATAGTGAATTATATCTCACACATGCATATCATCCCGCCCTCACAAAGATAACTATGCCACACTACAGAAGATTCTACTAATGTACATTTTCTGCAATGCATAATGATTTAAAAAACCAACATAGAAACAAGTGGTAGAATGATCTTTTAAAAGTTGCAGATATTAGACATAGTTCAAAGAAACTACATACGTTGCCTTCTGCATTGCTTTCATTACTGCTGCTCCAGTTCTCAAAGCATCCACAGTTTCAGTTGTAGCTTTTGCACCTTCTAACAGTATCATCTGCGACAATGCATTTGACATTGTACTCAAAAAGGTTGTCATCTAAGAAAGGCATTGTGCAAAACATTCAAATATAAAATGTCAAGTCAACCTGATCGTGGATTCGTAGTTGGAAATTGCCAAGCTGCTCAACTTGTTGTTCATATAGTCTTTTCCGCTTCAAACATTGTATAGCCGCTGCATGATAATATTGTTTCCTCATAAGTAGGCTCCAAAATTCAACATAAAGCCTTTCAAAAGGTGCTAAAAGCTTGAAAGGGGATCAATACCACCACCACTAACAATAATGTAGAACAAAGCTGGTGCAAACAACTACATGGAAAGAATGTTTCATTGTGCTAAAGTTGTCAAAAATTATTATTGCGTCAACTTCTTTTTGTGTCGGATATATTTAGTGCCACAAAAATAGCATAGATGCCACAAACTATGTAAGAGCCACATAAGTTATATATCATACAGAAAATTCATCGTCCCAAAGCTCATCCTCTCAATGCTAGATACGGAAACTCAATCAGGACCAATGGTGACAAGTTGGTATGGACGTACCACTTAACTGTTGCCACAGTTCAGACTTACAAAATTAATCAGAAGTTAATACAATGAACAGATTCGTATGCTAGGTAACCACACATGGAGCAGAGTAGAGGTGAGAGTGCGAGAGCAGCAAAATTCCAAAAATAAGTCTGATACCTCAAAAGCGTCCAAATAGTTTTATTTCTATCTTGGTTTCTTGTTTTAAATTTCAACTATTTTTTACATAAAAAGGTAAGACAATTTTCATGCTGAATATATTCCTTTTATTAGTGATTCAATTCTCCCATTTGATTGACAAAGTTTGATGTGAAGTCAATTTACATTTTAAATAATTTTAATTTTTTAATCACGATTAATGGACAAGAATTAAGAAATGATACTTTTAGAAAGTAATTAATTGCTTTAATCAAGGATGGAAAGCGCGGAGGGTACATAGAACAATGGATGAGATGGCTGCACCACTTTTTTATTTCTTATTTTTTGAGTGGTGGTTTTTTTTCTTTCCTTTTTTTTTGGGGAGGGGGGGCTTCAATACCCAACAAATGCTTTTTCGACCAAACTAATGCATCAGCAGGTTCCAACATATTGTACCTGTGGGAGCTCAGCAAGAATTGAACTGATCCATCAGTGAAGGAAAGCCAAAACATATGAAATTCATGAGTTTGGCCCGACAAATTCATGAATGTGGACACTAAACACATGGTTCAGACTGGCAAACCACCACACAACCACCATGCCCCACCACTCGGCAAAAATTAGAAATAAACAAAGAGAGAATAAATAAAAACAAAACAGTTACATGAATCAGGGGTCCCAAGTTCTTACAGGAAATAACAGGGACTCAGTTAACTGACCAGCAAGAGAAACCAGACATAACCCAAACTTATATGCAAAATCAACTTGCACTTTGGAGCAGAACTCGGAGCTAAAAATATTACTCCAACAATAAATTAATAGTACAGTATTTATTCATCAAGGCAAAACTACGTAAATGTAAAGCTGATAATTGTACCGCATTATTTGCCACAAATTGTTCATTATAAGCAACTCAGTGAAATTTTTGAACTCATGTTATAGTTGAAATAGTATAATGGATGCTAGAAACGAAATCTTATTTAATGTTATCTGCTATTACCTTTTCTATCATTATTTTACTTTTAGGCAATGAGAACAATCAAAGTAAGAACTATACCCCTCTTGTTCTTTGCTCTTGTAGATGCCTTGGCCTTCTCAACCTCCCCAGAAGCCTTCTTTTGAAGCACGTTTTCTTTCTTCTCGAGCATCTCAAGAGTCTACACAAGATAAAGAGTCAAATATTCAATATATGTTCATTTAAACAGCGACAGACACTGCACATCAAACATCTTATTGAAAATATAGATGACTAAAATCTAATGTCAATTTTAAATTTAAGCTGATAAACAGTTTAATGAAAAATCCTTCTCTTTAGAAATGTAGTGCATACTCAGATTGACTAAAGTACAGGAGATAACACTGTAACCTTGACAAACAAAAAGCACATAATAAAGCTCAAACACTGCTACTGCATAGTTAAACACATAACTTTTAGTAACACTGTTTCACAAGTTATTCTCATTTCATGCTTTTTTTGGCACATGACAATTCCTGGGATCAAAATCCTAAATGTACGTTTGCGAAGTCATTTAGATAATTTTTACTTTTGATTTTTCAAGAAAAGTGATCTACATAAAGGGCCTGAAGGATTCAATCCCCTGCTCAGGAACACGAAAAATAGCCTCTCTCATTAGAAAATGGTATATTTTGTCTGAACACTCTACAAGACATTGTGGGTGAAAAGGGAAGTCTCCTTAATCCAGAGAAACATGCTCTATTCAACAAATTTTGGTGATGGACGCAAGAGACTACGTATATGTCTCTAAAAGATGTTTGTCAAAATAACACTTAAACATACACCACTAATAGAAACGAAAACTTATTTGGCAACCAAATCAGTTAACTACAGCACATACTAGCCACTTTTTACGTCCAACTATGGTGCTGGGTACAAGACAGCTTTCAACAGATTCATTTTCCCAAGCAAAATTGTCAGCTCCGTCATCATGAAAGATTGTTTCCGATAAAACTATCTTCATCTCAAATGACAATGCAATAACATGTTGAACATTTACCCAGCTCCACCACCTCATACATAATAGTGTGAAAAACATTAAGTTAAAGTTCGGCTTGTGTGATATTAACAACTTTGGCACCCTCTACTTACAAAGCAGCTTTAAAGGTGAGTTCTACTTGTCACAATAAATGGTATCAGAGTAAACACCACTCTAGGAATGGCCCTATTTGTGGATGGGACGACTTAGAGAAGGCAAACTTGCTCCATGTTGTCGCTCAGTTAGGTATATGGACTGCCATGGACGTGAAATTTGAAACGGGGACAGACTGCAATGACCCTAATTACTTCTCACATCGCCAAGTTTTTTGTGTTTAGAACCACTTTAGCACTTTTCCTTACAAGGTGGATTTAAAAGTGAGTTCTATCCTTCCGATGTGGTTGTATTAACAAACCCAACTAATAATTCGTCAATGAACTTCCATTTTTTTTTTTTTTTAATTAACGGACAGAATAACTGTAACAACATTCTCTTCTAGTCAGCAACCATATCAATGTTTCCAATGAAATAAAAAAAATGAAGAAAAAAACCGCATCAATACCTGCGAATGCTGATATACACAAATTTATGAACATGCTATAGAACGTAATAAGATGATATACGAACGATACCTCATTTAATTTGTCCATAGTGGTGAGGGCATTAGTCTCTTGCTTAGATTTGCCAAACATACGAGTAAACATCTTGATTAGATCAGAATCGGTTCTAATTGAACCCAATTCTCTCCCCCAGAAGAATCTCTTGGAACTAAAAGATTAAAAATCAATAGTTAGTAGTAGTTTCACAAAAAAAGCCAAATGAAATTGCGATCCCAAAACAATGTAATTGTATAAATGTACCCAGAAATTAGTTTCCAGAATCAGAGGTTGGAGCAATGGATTGATAGATGAAGATTAGCAAGAGTTGCTGTATAGAGAGAGATTGTGACTCTTAAAGTTATTGAGAAGCTAGACTGCTATATGGAAGACGTAAAGACGAAAGCGATGGTCGCCGGTGGACTGGGTTTACTTAAGCGCGTTGGTTGGGTGACGAAAAGCACCTTTTGCTAATGTAAATTTCCTTTTAGTTTAGCAAGTAATCCAACAATAGATAATTTATATTTATATTTTTATATATATTCGGGACCATGTGTGCCTACTGCGTGGACTCCGACTTATCAAACTTTTTTACTCCACTGGTGGCAGTTGCTTTTCGGCACCCAACCAACGCGCTTAAGTAAACCCAGTCCACCGGCGACCATCGCTTTTAAAGTAAAAGCTTTGCCACAGTAACACTCAAGGTGACTTCTGGATGACGGAATTGCCAAATGGCAATCACAGTTGATTGATGGAAAAACTATCAAATATTAGTTAATTTAAAATAAGAGCTTTGCTACTTATTACCTATGAAGATGAAATCTTTTATGGTTGGATCAAACACTATAGAGGATGCTCTTGCACATAAGAGTAAATCATTCCAAGGAGGTAAAAAAATAGAAATAGAAAGAAAAAAAAAAAGGAATGAAAAATGAACTCCGACGAGAACAGGTGAGATGCCTCCCACGATGAACCACGCCTTACTACCTTAGAATTTAATAACTTCCATGATTGAACCAAACACTATGGAAGAAGCCCTTGATAAGGATGCGTTACTCCTATATAAGGATGTCAGCTTATCACAATTGCTTATATATTCAATCTCGTCTCAGCATCAGTTTTATCATAGTGACTTATATTCCATGTCCAACCCGCATATAAATATTTGACTTTGGGAACTATTGTAATACTAGTATTTTAGTACCATTACATTATTACTGCTAGCATATGCATTATATTATTGATATGCTAGCATATGTATTATATTATTGCTGCCAAGTATACATGTCACATCATTGCTACCATTCCCCATGATCCATGACACCTTTTACTAGCGTTAGTATGCATGTCACATTATTTACACTATTGTCAAGTATATGCCCTCTTATGATACATGATAGGTTTTCTACATATTATTTTTTGGAGAAATATGATGTCGTTATTCACTTTATAGTTATGAGTATTTGGAGGGGCAAATTGATCCCAATTTATTTTATTTATGTGTGGTGGAGATATTGTGTTATATTACAGGTTGGTTTAATCCATATTACAAAGGAGATGTTATCGAAATTTCGAAAAATAATATGCAACATCTCTCCAGGTAATTCGTGAGCTCTTGTTTATTCAGGCTGACACATATATTTTCAAGGCAATTTGTAAGTCCTCGCTTATTGGAGCTATTCATATTTTCTGAAGCAATCCGTAAGACCTCTTCTACTTGACTATTTATATTTCGAAGTCTGACTCGCACAGAAGTATACGGCTCGGACTTGGGAGACAATTGTTATACCTATAAAAGTATCGCATATTGGGTCTTCCTATTGGACTTGGACAAAGCCCATTAACGCACTTGGCCCATCTTCATTCTCTATATATATGAGAATCCATTTCATTTCCAGGTATGTTTCCACAACCCTAGCCAATTCCTTTCTCCCGATTCGTGCACTCTTCTCATATTTTGTCCGGCAGTTGACTTAATCGTCGGAGTGAAAACCGTCGTTAGACCTTTTTCTCGATCGGCGACCTTTACATCCTAGCAGGGTGTTTCGTGTGCAGGTGACGTCCATGTGGAGGGGACGTAGCGGGAATTTCGTTAGACATTTTTTGGAGTCAACAAATTCATTTTTTTTCTTTACTTTTTTTCACATATCTGTGAGTTGTAACATAGAATAATATCTAATTATATAATAACAATGAAAAAGGTGGAGATCTATGTTTTCGTCCTTGCATGAAGAATACGAATGCTTACACATCTATTTAACTTGTAAATTTTGCATTTGTATGGACGACGGAAGCGCTACGGGGAACAAGAAGTTCTTAAGTATTCATTTCTACCATGTGATGTTCTCATAATTACAAGAAGTGTGGCTCATTTTGAACTAATTTTTGATCGAATCTAGAACTCGGGCACGAAAGAACAGGGAATAGGAGTTTGGATTTCATGTTTTCACTACAAGACACAGTCTTGTTGGAGAATTGACTATTTACTATTTTTAACTTTAATGACTATAGACAGATGTAGGTTAAAGATTTCTTCTTAATTGCTATTACAAAACTGCTAAATATTTTTCTTTGATATTTCAGAAGGCTTTATTGAGATTGCATGGGCAATTTCTTTCCACAAGAATTGGGAATATTGTTGCGAAAAGAAAATTAGAATTTTCGAATAAGAATAATTTTGAAAAACTCTCAAACTTATAGAGAATGATTTAATTGTAATGAATTGGTGAATGAAAAGTACACACAGACTTTGTTTATATATGCAAAAAAAATTTCTAACCTTACCAATAGAAGGAATAAAGCCCTATTTGACAACCATTAGAAAGTTTTGTCCTTTTTTATTTTATTTTTTTTGAAAAATGAGTTTTGGAATAATCAAAAATACGTGGTTAAAAGTCGAAAAAAATTTGGATTTACATCCAAAAAAAAATAAAAATAAATAAATAAATAAATTAAAATATATATATATATATATATTTGTAAGAATGTGTGGTTGAAAATGAGTTTAAGAATAAAAAAATTTGTTTTAATGGTTGTTTGGCGCTAAATAATGTTTTACTAAAAGGGGAGAAAAATTAAATTCTAATTTATAAGGAAATGAAAATCCTACTATAATAATAATAAATGTCATGTATCCTATTTCTATTAGGATTGTTCTATATCATTCTCCTATAGTTGAAGAAGACTCGTCTTCAAGTTTGGTAAAAGAAGAAAATTTTGATCAGTAAGGGGGAAAATACTTTAAATTTTTTTGCAAGAACTAATATTGAAAAGATGTCAATCTCTTGATGTGCTCGATAACGTAGTTATACTTGGTTGCATCGTTTGAAGTTAATTTTGCTCGTGTCTTGCTGATTTTATTTCCCTATTTGCTCGCATAATTCTTAGTCATTGGGAGTGTTGAAAAAATTTTGATTCTCAATAACTTCACCTTTGATTTCCTTTTTTTTA